CTTAATATGCTTGCTTCTCCCATGCAACACTGAGTTTCTGGCAAGATTGATTGCAGACTTGTTGTCAATCCTCAACTTCAGAGGTTTGTTTATTTTAATCTTCAGATCTTGCAACAGATTCAGAATCCACACAGCTCGGCATGCAGTAACAGCACCTGCAATGTATTCAGCTTCACAGGTTGATAACGCCACAACAGGTTGCTTTTTGGAACACCAAGAGATGGGACCTCCCAGAAATTTGAACAAGTACCCAGAGGTACTTCTTCTGTCAACTCTGTCTCCACACCAATTAGAATCTGAATAATTCAGAAGTTCTGACTCATTCTTTTTTCCAGAAGGAAATAACACTCCATACTTCAGAGTTCCCTTGATATACCTCAGAATCCTGACAGCAGCTTGGTAATGGGACCACTTAGGTTTACTCATGAACCTACTAATCATCCCAACAAAATAACAAATATCAGGTCTGGTATTGCACAAATACCTCAGAGAACCAACCAACTGTTTGAAGGTTGTAGCGTCCACATCCTTTCCATCAGGGTCAGAATCCAGTTTCTGATTTGTATCAGAAGGTGTGACAACAATCTTACAATTCTTCAGTTCAAATCTCTTCAGAAGTTCTAATTCATACTTGAGCTGATGCAAAATGATACCTTTCTCAGAATATCTGAACTCCATCCCTAGAAAGTATGTCATTTTGCCTAGATCAGTCATTTCGAATTCATTCATCAGAACTTTCTTGAACTTGGCTATCTCCTGTTCAGAACTTCCAGTCAGCAGTATGTCATCAACATATAAACACACCAGAGTCATATTGCTAGAAGTATGCTGAACATAAACACCGTACTCCATCTCACATTTCTGAAAGCATTGCTTCTTGAAAAATGAATCAATCTTCTGATTCCAAGCTCTGGGCGCTTGTTTCAGTCCATATAAAGCTTTGTATAATCTGTACACCATCCCTTCCTGATTCTTTTTCACAAATCCAGGAGGTTGTGACACATAAACTTCTTCTTCTAATGGACCGTTCTGAAATGCAGATTTTACATCTAAATGCATCAGAGGCCAATTCCTGTTAGCAGCTATTGCAATCACCATTTTGATTGTTTCATGTCTTGCTACAGGTGCAAACACTTCAGAATAATCCAGCCCAGGTTTCTGTAGAAATCCTCGGGCTACCAACCTTGCTTTATATTTGCCAATTGAACCATCTGGCTTTAACTTCTGCTTGAAAACCCATCTGACGCTGATGGCTTTCTTGTCTTTTGGAAGTTCTGCCAGCTTCCAAGTCTTGTTTCTCTCTGTAGCATCAAGTTCTTCTTTCATGGCCTTCAGCCAGAGCTTCTGCTTAAGAGCATCTTCTGTACTTATAGGTTCAGAGTCAACTATCATGGCACACTGAATAACTTCTCCTTCAGAGTCTACTTCAGTGTCTTGCAGCATGTCAAATTCTGCATATCTTTTGGGGACGTTTCTTATTCTTTGTGGTCTCTGAACTTGTTCAGAGTCTTGAGCTTCAGAGTTTCTAGCTTCAGATGATTGACTTCCTCCAGAGCTTTGACCATCTTCAGAGTCTGGCATATTTCCAGAGTCTGAATTGCCACCAAAATCTGGATTGCCATCAGAGTCTGGATCATCAGAGTCACCTTCATCTTCTGAGTCTTCTCTAGAGTCTGAATCACTATTAGAGTCAGAGTCAACGTCAGAGTTTACTCCAACTTCAGAAATTCTTAACTCTGACCTTTCTTCAGAAGTTCTAACATCAGAATCAGATTGAGACTTATCCCAATTCCAAACTTCTGGTTCCTTCACAATCACATCTCTGTTGAATTCAATTTTATTGGTTTTTGGACAATAGAGCTTGTATGCATCTGTACTGTGGTACCCTATCAGAATCATCACTTTGCTTCTATCATCTAGCTTTTGTCTTCTGGCTTCTGGAACATGTTTATAGCAAGCAGAACCAAACACCTTCAGATGACTAACACTTTGCTTATCTCCAGTCCACTTCTGTATTGGAACTATTTCCTTCAACTTCTTCGTAGGACATCGGTTGGGTACATACTTTGCAGTGCCAACAGCTTCTCCCCAGAGCTTCTGAGGAAGCTTCTTCTCCTTTAGCATGCTTCTCACCATATCAAGGAAAGTGCAGTTTCTTCTTTCAGCAAGACCATTGTGTTGAGGGGTATAAGGAGCAGTAACCTCATGCTCAATTACATTCTCCTCACAGAACTTCTGGAACTCTTTGGAGTTATACTCACCTCCACTGTCAGTTCTAAGAATCTTCAACTTCTGATCACTCTGATTCTCAGCCTTCATTCTGAACTTCTTGAATTCATCAAACACCTCGTGTTTAAACTTAATAAGGGATACCCATGTCATTCTTGTGAATTCATCAACAAACAACACAAAGTATTTATTCCCTACAATCGATGCTACTGGAAATGGACCACACACATCAGAATGTACAACTCCCGAGGCATGTTTTGCTCTTGGAGCAGCTTCTGACGTAAATGACAATCGTGGTTGTTTTCCTTCCATGCAAACTTTGCATGACTTTTCAGGCTTCTTAATTGCAGGAACTCCATGTACCAACTTCTTTGAATTCAGATGCTTTAAGCTTCTGAAATTCAAATGACCGAATCTTCTGTGCCACAGCTCACTCTCCTTCTCAGCACTTGTTGCACTAAGATATTCCGAGTCTGCAGTTCTGACATTAATCTTGAATGTTCTATTCCTTCCCTGTTCTGACTCCATAATCAACTTTTGATTGCAGTCATACAGCTTCAGAAGATTGTCCTTCATGGTAACTGAAAAACTTTTCTCAATTAGTTGTCCCACACTCATCAGATTGCTTCTGATGCCAGGTACATACCACACGTTCTGAATCAATGCTGTTTTCCCATTGTTCAGAATCACTCTGACATTTCCCATACCTTCTGCGTTAAGATATTTGTCATCAGCACATCTGATATTTGTTCTCTTTTTAGAGTCAAAGTCAACCAGCCATTTTTTGTTTCTAGTAAGATGATTTGAACAACCAGTGTCCATATACCACCAGTCTATCAGATCCATATCATCAGATTCAGAGGCCATCAATAGCACAAATTCGTCATCAGAACTTCTGGCTATATTTGTTTCTTCTGATTTTCTCTCCTTGTTTGACCAACAATCTCTAGCAAAGTGACCAAACTTCTTACAACAGTAATATTAGATTTTCTTCTTGTCATACTTCTCTTTTCCCTTCTGAGCATTCTTTTGTCTATCAGAGGTTGAGCTTTCTGACTTCTGACCACCATCAGATCTTCTCCTGGCTTCTAACTGCTTCTGATACCTCCTATCAGAAGTTACTTTCAGAGCCTGCTGCTCTACTTCCTTTTCAGAAGTTCTCTCAGTCAAACGCAACTCTTGCGCTTCTAGACTGCTCTGCAGCTCTTCAATTCTCATGGTGCTCAGATCTTTGGAATGTTCTATTGCTACCACAATGTAATCAAATTGAGAGGTAAGGGATCTCAATGCTTTCTCCATGATTGCTTCTTCAGAAAGAGTTTCTCCACACGCCTTCATCTCATTAGTGATCAAAATCATTCTGGAGATGTATTCAGAGACTTTCTCATTATTCTTCATGTTGAGATTCTCATATTGCTTTCTCAAGGACTAAAGTTTCACCTTCTTCACTGATGCGTCACCACCATAAACATCTCACCAGTGTGTCCCACACAGCCTTTGCTGTCGTTGAATTTGCAATCTTCTCAAACACATTTACATCCACACATTGATGAATGAAGAACAATGCTTTCTGATCCTTCTTCCTTACTTCCTTCTGCGCGTTTTTCTGTTCATCCGTCGCATCTGCTGCTACCGGAACATAACCATCAGTGACAAGATCTAGAACATCTTGAGCACCGAACAGTACACGCATTTGGATTATCCAACGATTCCAGTTTTTACCGTCAAATACTGGAAGTTTGGTGTTAATGTTGTCGTTTCCGTTCATCTTCTACTTTGCACAGTACACTCAGATTTCTCACACAGTATTTCCCAACCCACAGAATTAAAATTCTGATCAGATTTTGTTCAAGATTCAACACAAATCTAAGAAACAAAATCAAACACACAAGGCCTCACGTTCACTCGTGTTTCCCGTGTTTCCCAATGAATCCGAACCGGAGCTCTAGATACTAATTGTTGGTGCAAAGGTGAATAAATGACGAACAGAGAAAATATTCTATTAAGAGAATGACGGCTACACAACTCACTCAACATTGCAATGATTGCAACCCTATTTATAAGTTAAAACTAGGGTTACTAGAATAAGATAAAATACTAAAATACCCTCTAACAAACTTAGGGACTAAGTAATAGTACAACTAAATATGAATTAGTTCTAATTAAATACGATACTCACTACTAATTACAATTGGGCCTAATTTAATTTTGGCTTGCGTCTGACATATATATGTCTAATTGGTGACCTACTAACACTCTAATAAGTCTATCAAAATAGACACTTAACTATTCTTCTATCAAAATCAAACACACAAGGCCTCACGTTCACTCGTGTTTCCCGTATTTTCCAATGAATCCGAACCGGAGCTCTAGATACCAATTGTTGGTGCAAAGGTGAATAAATGATGAACAGAGAAAATATTCTATTAAGAGAATGACGGCTACACAACTCACTCAACATTACAATGATTGCAACCCTATTTATAAGTTAAAACTAGGGTTACTAGAATAAGATAAAATACTAAAATACCCTTTAACAAACTTATGGACTAAGTAATAGTACAACTAAATATGAATTAGTTCTAATTAAATACGATACTCACTACTAATTACAATTGGGCCTAATTTAATTTTGGCTTGCGTCTGACATATATATGTCTAATTGGTGACCTACTAACACTCCAATAAGTCTATCAAAATAGACACTTAACTATTCTTCTGTTTTTTTTATGTATTCTATATTTGAAATGTAATAATTTGGTTTACTATAGGAAATGAAGCAAAGGGTTGAAACAAACATAACCAAGGAAGAAGAGGTTGAGTTCTCTGAGTATATGCTTAAAAGACTTCTTCCGTATTTAAGACAGTTGGATGAAGAACAGATTATTGAGAAGGAAAGGGAAGCGAAGAGACAAGGTATTCTTCTATTGTCAGAATTCATTTTTAGTTTCAGGTATTTTTAATTTTACAATTTAATTTTGATGTGAATTTCAGGGATCCCATTCTCAAAGCTTGAAGTAAAAGAGGGAGATTTTTATAAAGATGAGCGTGTGTACTGGTTAGTACTTGTTTAGAATATTATTGTTTTACTTAAAATAATGCTATATAGTTGTTGACTTTAACACATTTAGTTTTTTTTTGTAGTGACAACTGCAAAACGTCAATATTTGACTACCATAGAAGCTGTACAAAATGCCCGTTTGACATTTGTCTCCTTTGTTGCCGGGAGCTTCGTGATGGGAAGCTTCTCGGTGGTGCAGATCCAATTGAGTTCGATTTTATCTTCAGAGGGTGTAATTATCTGCATGGTGGAAATGAAGAGAGAATTGTCAGACAAAACAAACCTTATGATGCTGCCGAGCCTGAGATTCGTGAGTGGTCAAGATCTAGATGGCATGCGAATGGTGATGGTAGCATTCCCTGTCCAAAAGCCAATAATGAATGTGATCATGGTTTCCTTGAACTGAGAAGGATACTTCCTCTAAATTGCATCTCTGCGTTAGTACGTAAAGCTGAAGTACTTGCAGAAAAATTTGAGCTCCACGTTGTTCACGTTGCAGAGGAGACTCTTGATGATAGGTGTTCGTGTTGGAAGTCTGTTAGGAGCGCAGATGGTATCTACAGTAACCTAAGGAAAGCAGCTTTTCGTAGAGATTCCAGTGACAACTTTTTGTACTGTCCTAGGGCTGTAGGTCTACATCAGGAAGATTTAAGGCATTTTCAATGGCACTGGAGCAAAGGGGAGCCTGTAATTGTGAGCAATGTACTTGAATGTACATCTGGCTTAAGCTGGGAGCCGCTAGTCATGTGGCGTGCATTTCGTCAAATAACCAATTCCAAGTTCGATGTGCTTTTAGATGTGAAGACAATTAATTGCTTAGATTGGTGTGAGGTTTGTATGATTCCTCAATCTTTAGCATGGAGGGATTCTTGCTGGAATTAATGTTTATTATTGTTGTCGTGAAACTTTTTTCTAATTTGTTTAACCGACATTCTTAATGTTTGGATTGGGAATAACTTTACAAAACTAGACTTTGTAACACGAGATATCTCTCACTTATTAACATAATTTCAGGCTATATCTCATATGATACAAAACTTTTATGAAACATTTTTTTTACTGGAATGGCTGCTTGAAAATGACGTGTAGAAAATAATTTATCTGTTGCAATTTGTTTTTGTTCTTCTGAAATTTATACATGCTTTCTCAATTTGGCATCTCCATCTTTTTGGGATTAAGAGAAGTTTTAGTGCATTTAACATTGTCAGTTACTCAATTTATTTTTATTTTGGTTTAGATTGTTCTTCGGTAGGAATCAATTTCTAGATATTCTGCCGTCATCCATTATGAAGAGGTAAGCCACATTAGGGTTGTGAGCCATATGCCATTTTTTAAAATGTAATTGGCATGTGTAAACAATAATGTCTCAGTCCTTGGTGCTTGTCATATGCTTATACTCCCAACATTTTTGACTAATGTTACTTCTCACTTCCGATTCAATATCTTGTCATCTTATCTTTTAAATTTATTGTCAAGAGTTTCACGTCGGACAATATATGACCTAATCATATGTTTATAAACGGGGGAATCCTCACCTTATAAGTCGGTTTTGGAGGGGTGAGTTAGGCCTAATTGACACATTCTAAGATGATATCAGAGTCTATCATAATTCTGTTGTTGGGCTTCTCGCATCATCCGCACTTCAGTCTTATTCAGGTCCGAGTGTGAGGGGGTGTGAGATCTGAGCGTGAGGGGTGTTGGAAATTATACCTTCATTGCGGTCTGTCCCTAGTCGCCTAATTGCAACAATTTGAGTTGTCTTCATTGTAGTCTCAACACCTTCCTATGTAATGTTTATAAAGTTTGGGCAGCTCTCATCTTACAAGTCGGTTTTGTGAGTTTTCCCCAACCACAATTCTAAAGATCCTGTTTTTGAGTTTCAAAGAATCTACCATTAAAACCAAAAAAGCACAAGATAAACCGCAATGATGACGACTAGGGTTGAAGTGTTAGACCCTCAAAATAGGGGAGGAGGCTGCAATGAAGGCAACTCAAATGCCACAATTAGGCGACTAGGGACGGACTGCAATCCAATGAAGGCAGAATTTTAACATTTATCTCAATTTCTTGCTGTCTGGTGTCCCTGATAGTTTGACCTGTTATTACTTATTATGCTATACTCACCACATGTTCATGGTGTTAGGTTGGACTTATTGTTTTATTTTTTATTTTATATGTTTTCTTGTTGAGAATATTTTTTCTAGTTGTACTGTCAAACAGCCTTGGGTAAATTGTATCTGCTTTATGTTATTGATTTTTTTCTGCTCTTACTTGATACTCTATTCTGTTGCTGGTAATGTGCACATTTTTATTTGAGTTGTTAATTGAATGCAGGGAGATATTAATATCCACCAGTTCTTTACTGGCTACACAAATGGTCGCAAGGATTGGCTTAATTGGCCTGAGATGTTGAAATTGAAAGATTGGCCTCCTTTTGATTTATTTCAAGAACTTTTACCTCGTCATCATGCCGAGTTCATATCTTCCTTGCCTTTTAAAGAATATACAGATCCTTTTAGAGGGGCTCTCAACCTTTATGTGAAATTGCCAGATCATTGTGTAAAGCCAGACATGGGGCCAAGAACATATGTTGCTTATGGATGTGCTCAGGAGCTTGGACGTGGTGATTCTGTGACTAAGCTCCACTGTGATGTGTCTGATGCTGTAAGCTTCAATTTCTGTCTTTCCTGGCCTGTTTTTTCAGAATTTAGAATTTTCATTCATTCAACTGTCGTAGAAAATCTCATCATTTGATTCTGTTTGATTTGATTTGTTACTTCCCTGGCTGTTTTGCTAATTCGTGATTCATAAAAGTATTCTTTTTATGACTATTGGCATAAACTGCAAAGTATTTTGTAGGATTTGAATAATGAATGATGCATTTATCAATTCTTTGTTAGTGCTTTATAATTATTACTTTGTTTCTCCGAGTGAATGCTCCATTATGAGGAAAATGAAATGTAGTAAGTTTTGTAATTTGGTTGTAAGATAAATGTGTTGACTCATATTGCTAAAGTGGAGCTGAAACCTGAGGAAACTACAGCCATTGAAAAATTGAAACGTGAGCACCTCGAGCAAGATAAGAGGGAGCTACATGATGATGAGAAAGTAACACTGAAACAAAAAAACAGTTCGTTGGTTGGAGAGGATTCTTTAGATGGCGCTCTCTGGGACATTTTCCGGAGAGAAGATGTACCCAAATTGCAGGAATATCTAAAGAAGCATTTCAGAGAGTTCAGACATGTCCACTGCAATCCTTTAAAGCAGGTAAAATTAGTTTAGATGATTTTCCATCATCTAGATCGCTGGATCCCCCTTTTGACCATTTAATGTCCGACCATTTAGTTTCATTGCTGCTAACATACTACTCCATTCTCTTTTATTAGCAAATTTTACTTTTCAAGTTCATTGAACAAATGATGTATTTGGACTATATATAGACTAGATATATCAATTATTTAATGAATCTAAAAAGTAAAAGTTGCTTATAAAAGAGAATGGAGGGAGTAATCTATAAATCATGTATTTTTAAGCTGTTGGGGAGTCTCCCCATAAGTGTGAGTCACCCACGTCACTAGCCTTGATCTACACTAGGATTCACTTCCGCTCTCCCACTGAGCCTAACCATGGCTCTGATATCACTTGCTGGGGAGTCCAGGGAGCGCTGAAAGTGTTAATAGGCTAAACGTTCATGGATCCAATAGATTTTGACACCACATATCCACAAAAAACCTTAAGGCATTAGGGGTATGAGTCATTTCTCTTATATACACCTCTAACATTTCCTCGATTTCTAGTCGATGTGGAACTTGACCACTCACACTTGAATCCCAACATAAACTTTTGAAGGGTTGCACTAGGATAAGATTTATACTTTCTCATACTTTCTTCCTGAGTAAAGTTTTTATTTATTTTTCAAATCCAATATACGTGGCAGTGTGATAGTATCTTCTTGAATGAGATATCCATTGGTAATGTAGGTTATTCACCCTATTCATGATCAGACCATGTATCTGACTACGGAGCATAAGATGAAACTTAAGGAGGAGTATGGTTAGTAATGTTAATAAATATTTCTTTGTTGGTTGGGGAGTGGACTGTTTTGATCATTTATATTGTACCAATCTGTTGACATTTCAACTTTAACTTATAGGAATTGAGCCTTGGACTTTTGTTCAGAAGCTAGGAGATGCTGTTCTTATTCCTGCTGGTTTACCTCACCAAGTTAGAAATCTGAAGGTAAAATTTACATACATGGCACACATTTCTCTGTTTACCAAGAAGTATATAAAGTCAATAAAATTCTGCTAGAAGTGATGAATATCAGCTTGAATTAGATTAATATCTGATTTTTTTTTTTGGTTCATCGCCCATCCTTGGTACTTGTGTTCTCTAAATTTTAGTAGTTTGGTTAGTATTTTTTCTGGACAACTTTGCTTATATTACATATCTAAACTTTTCAAGGCTAAAATTGAATTCAGAGATTTACTATAATTAGTAGCATGATGGCATCAACCTATGATTTCTTGCAAATCATTGAAGCCATATATTATTATCTCACTTTTCTTTTTGCCATGATTGCTTTTCCTTTTGAACGATGCTTGAAATGTTTGTGTCAATGTCAATATACGCATCATTCTTTTGCAGTCATGCTTCAAGGTTGCACATGATTTTGTCTCTCCTGAACATGTTGGCGAGTGCATCCGTTTGACAGAGGAATTTCGCAAGCTTCCGATAAATCACAAAGCCTCCGAGGACAAGTTCGAGGTGTGTGAGTCTATTTTCAAATTTGATTCTACTTTCGTATTTGTAGGGATACAATACTCTTAATCCTTATTGAATAGGGAATTAGTTCATGAAAATAACTGGGTAATATAGAAAATAATCTTAAGAGATACTCCAAGGCAAGAAACTGATCCTATGAGATAAACTAAGATATTCTAACATAATATTAGAGTAATGTAAGAGTCTTTATGTATATATATTCTCACACTCTCGAGGTTCTAACTTCTAATATTGATTGTTCCAATCCTTGTTGAATGTTTAAAATCTTGATCATCAACCTATTTCAGTTCTATGTTCCTGTGGGATATCATATGTAAACTGTTTCTTATTGGGATTTTATTATGTATTTTTTTTTCTTTCCCTGGCGGCCACATCTTTGGTATCAGGTTAAGAAAATTATCATCCATGCTATGCGTGATGTGGTTGAAAAATTAGAGAATGCAAGGTTAGTGATTGCGAACTTCAGACTCTTTGTTTATGGAATTGTATACTTACATCTCTTGATTAATCTGTTTGCTTTCCTGTCAAAGCATATTAATAGACTACATCTTATGTACATGCATTTTTGTTATGTTTTCTAGAGTCACGATTTAAAGTTTGTGTTTAATGCGTGAATATCATGAAGATTGATCATTGCCATTCAATTTACAGGTATAGGTAATCAAGGTTCCTGTATATATATAATATACCGTAGAAAGAGATTGAATCCATTTTGATGAGGCTTGGTAATCTTGGGTTCTTTGTATTAAAACTGAAAGGTTTCATGTTTTGTTTTATCTTGCACATTTTGATGAGGTACATTGGAAACATTAAGTTCTGGCTTGTAATTGTATACATGTGGTGCTAATTATCTGGTAGATTCAAGTTTATGAGTAGATGCTAATGTGAACATTGACCTAATCATACTTGTGAATGCAAATATATAGAGATTCTAAACTAACCTTTGTTGCTAGCATGTTTTGTAAAATATGGGAGATGTTGATTATTTGATTCATGTCAAATAATTGTTTTTGCTACTAAGTTTTTTTTAACAAAGTTTTTGCTGCTAAGTTAATCCTTGCAAATATAGAACTAGTTGAGTCTTTAGTGAGGTAAACTGTATCCACTAAAACACAACACTTCCTTATGTTTTAGATCATGAGACACTTGGGTTAAATGCTTTTTGATTCTAAAAGCATTTTCGTTGAAGTCATCACAGGAAAATTTTGAAAAGAAAAACCAATTAAAGTCAATTCATAATACTAGATTCAAAGGAACCTTTACATCTAACACCTTACCAATCTCAGGACAAAAGGTTAACAGATTTACTGAAAATCAAAACAACATTCACTCTTTATTTTTGACACAGCAACAAACCGAATGATTTGGATTGTGATAAAAACAATCGCCGCCAGATATGAAACCCATTTCATAGCAAGTTTTATAGCAAAGTCCATCGCCTCCATCTTTGCATTTTTCTATGCATTTATGTCCCGATAAATCTTGAAAATTCTCAGATGCTACAATCAAATGAAAGTTAATTAATTCATATAGTTAAGAAATCTAAAAATAAAATGCTTAACATTATTTCATTACCTGCCGAAACCAAAATGAAAGTTAATTAATTCATATAGTTAAGAAATCTAAAAATAAAATGCTTAACATTATTTCATTACCTGCCGAAACCAAAATGAAAGTTAATTAATTCATATAGTTAAGAAATCTAAAAATAAAATGCTTAACATTATTTCATTACCTGCCGAAACCAAAACTATAGCAACGCCTAAAATACAGAAAAGAGAACGTTGATGAAAATGAAAAGTCATTCTGAAAAATTTCACCCTGGATTTGATTTTTTTACTAAAAACTACTATTACTTTATAAATCAAATACTATATTAGTTCTAGATTTTGGAAAAGAAAAATATTTAAACTCCTTTATTACATTAAAATTTGTAACGTGCTGGTCAAAACATATTGATGAAAATTTATTGAAAGTTTGAAAGTAGTTAAAACGTTGAGAATTTTTTTAGCCGGCATATATTTTATCTTTACTTAACCTTTAAGCAATTAGTTAAAACCTTCGTTTAAATTTTTTTTGCAACTTTCTGGACTATATCTTATCTTTAGAATGATGGAGAGCAATCTTAAGCGACAAAACTCTAAAATTTGCCTTTTGTGGTAAAAGTCTATCAATTTTATAAAATAAAACTAAGGGCACAAACAAAACAAAACAAAAAACAAGAACACCGAACATATTTTTGTTTAGTAAAATAACATGAAAGAATGTAAAGAAAAAAAAAACAATAATACTATATTAAAAAAAGTCAACAACATTTAGATCAGATAATAAGAGATTTCTTCTTTCATCGAATTGCTTTAATCCAGTTAATTTACTTTACTTTTGGGCGAGACATTGAGGTGAGTCTTCTAGGTGAGACTTTACATCGAGTCCCTCAAGTCACTTGGAGGCGACTTCTTCAGGTCTTCCATCGAGTCCCTCAAGTCACTTACTAAGCCTAGTTGGTAGGGCTTATAAGGAGAATCAACTTCTTATTCTCCTACATTTTAACCATTTTTTCCTTCGCACCACATTCCAACTTCTTCAAAATTAGAGTGAAACTGAGACTGTCTAGGTTCATCTCTTTATGTATAGGATTTTATTCATACTTTCTCTCCATTTATAATTTTTAATTTTTCAATAATGTTTTATGAGAGTTTTAAATGAGAGAGGTCGAAGAATGCCAAGTGGTGAAATGATTCAACTAATCGCCTATAAGAGTTTTAAAAGTTTCTGCTAGTGATAGTGATATTCCTTCTTATTCTTTCCTAAGAACTCAATAGCAGATAATGGCAACCATCGAGACAAAATAATCGAGCGACAAGGATTTCGAAACCAACTATACCACTGAGGAACATGTGGTATATTTTCGGCGAGACATTCTTATGTATTACAATGTTGTATGTGCCTTAGTTAAAATGGCATCTACAATGGCCCTCCCATAAGTGCCTTATAAAAAGCCTCATCTGTCTATACTCGCTCGCGTAAGATCCATAATACGATGACATGCATGTAACACATTAACGATATGATATACCTTAGCATGTCCTTAACTAATATCTCCTAATGAACTTTCCTAGGTGGCTTTCCCTCAGCATTTGATGTCATATAAGAATGTAACACCCTGAAATACCAATGAACGCGGTTGAATGCACAATAACATTCGCTAGGAGCTACAATACCTTGTACTTCATTCGGTACCAAATAATTAAGGAAATCATCGTACATGACATCTACATCTCTGTCGGACATAGTGGGAGGAACAAGCACAAAAGAGTCTCTTAGAACAACATGTATATACATGAACTGGCGTATGACTCACTTAGGAAGATGTGGATACATCAGACGTGACTAATAACCCACATTTTGTGAGTTATTACATACCTTAATATTTCTTTATTACTAGTTAAATTGCTTTTTAGTTGTTGCTTTAGTTCATTTTAGTTATTTTTGCATTAGTTTGCTTGGAGTGCAATAAGTGCTCCCTTTAGTTGTTTCGATGTGTTTGCTGCTTGATTTAAGGTTACTTTTCTTGAGCTGAGGCAAGATTGAAGTGGATAACGCCTTAGAGCACAAATTGAATCAAAAAGATGAACTCAGCTAAAGGAGAAAATGGAGAAAGCAACTGGCTTCCTAGGGAAAACATGGAAGGATTGATGCATTGAAGGGAATCTTTTCTTTGCATTGAAGAAAATTCCTTTGAATAAAGTGGATAAGACCAAGGGGCGCTAGAAGACAAAAGAAGGTACAATAGTACACCCACTGATTTGCGTATTCTGCAAGAGAAGAACAACACCGCCTACACCCTGCTGTGGTATTCTATCACAAGACACCTTGTCCCCCATAATTGTTCCCTTGTACTTGATTCCTTGCATAAAGCAGAAGGAATAATGTTAATGCGCTAATTTATGTAATGGGCTTGATTTGATTTCCTTATTTTCAGCCCATGATCTAAGACTTCACAAGGAACCATAGTAAAGGCTTATAAATAGATCTTGATGGAGATTGACAGAGGAATGTAATATATATTTTTCAAAGAGAAAATACAGAAGATAATAATGTGAGGACAATGGAGAGAAAATAGAGTTTCTTCTTCTCATCATTTCCTGTACCAGCTGTTGAGCCCTGGCGCGATTGGAGTCGCCTCTTGCTGATTATCCATCTCAAGAAGTCTTCTAGTTACTTTTAGGTTTACATTTATTTTCCATTTTTTGTTTAAAAATGTATCCTTTTAGAACCGTGTTTGTAGTTTGTACTCGACTCATCATAAGCTAAACCTTTTATTTGTTGAGAAATGGGAAGTTAATGTTATGTTATTTTTATGTTAAGTAATGTGTTATTTAGTATCTTGTTTTATTATGCGATAACTTGCATACAAATCTGATTCTTGAATGATCAACTTAGAAAAAGATAACAACTTGTTGTTGCGAGAGATCCAACAACAAGTGGATTTCATAATAAAATTAGTTGAAAAGAGTGGGATAGAGATATTCACTTGATTAGTCCATTTAGAGATAAGGAACTATAATTATAAGGGCTTTCAGAATATAAACGTATTTTAGGGTTATTGTTAGACAATATACTTCGATCTAGAGGGGGGTGAATAGATAACAAATTTAAAATTCAAACTTTTGGCAAAAATGGTTTTCAAAAGTTTTATGGCACATCGGAAACAAGTGGACTTGCTGAAATGAGTTACGCAATAAAGAATGATTAGGTCCCCGAAGAAGATCCTGCAGAAATGCCTCTTTCTGATCCTAGAGGACTTGCAGATGACGGCTCTCACGCTTCCAATAAGTACTCTCCAAGTGAGACTGACCGATCTCCTCTTTGCTCTGATGTATCTGATCTTGCAACTCTTGGACATTACTAAAGACTTTGTTGATCTCGGCTTGACTTTGAGAAAGGTCTTTCATCAACTGGTCAGCATGATCCTACTCACTCTGCAACTTCATCTTGTACTCTAATAATTTTTCTCGAAGTTCTGCAAGTTGCTTCTTGTAGCTTAACTCATCCTTATGGGCTTGATAATGAGTATCGGCAAGTTGTCTCTTCTTTGAGGCAAGTTCGTTGTACATACTCTTCAAAGCATCACATACTTTCCGGAGTCTGTTCTGCTCAAACTCCACCTCTTTTCTCATGAGCTATCTCTTCTAGAGAAGATCCATTTGTAAGATCTCCTTCTCGAATGTGACTCTATCAAGGTTGAGACAAAGATCAACATTCTCTTTCTTCAACTTCTTAATAACCTGCTTAAGTTGATCGACTTCGGAAGGAGGAATAATGGTAAGTTCAGGAAGCTTGACATGTATGGAAGACTCGAAAGGAAATGGCAGTAAAGTTGCTTGAACTCGTTCCTTGACCCATTGTGTGTAGGCTTCTTTCGTGATATAATTCTTCTTACCCAACTCATCTCTACCCTCGCGGTGAATGTGTACCCATGCAACACTAAATCTCTTCGACAAACCCATGTCATTAACCCCCTTATGAAAGATGAATTCTTCCACTACCTCAGGATCTGGTTTGTCAAGCATCAGATATCCCAACTGACGGAAGGCAAGCCTCAAATTGTAGTTAATTCCACCATTTATACCTAAGAGAGGTACATTAGAAAATTTACCA